GATTTGACAGATGGACCACTCGATGGATAAAGAACTGGCTGGATGGCCACACTCAAAGAGTTGTGGTCAATGGCGCAATGTCTACATGGAGACCAGTGTCAAGTGATGTCCCTCAGGGGTCTGTTCTGGGTCCAGTGCTGTTCAACATCTTTGTCAGCGACATGGATGACGACATTGAGTGCACCCTCAGTAAGTTTGCCGATGACACCAAGCTGTTTGGTGCCGTAGACTCACTTGAGGGAAGAGATGCCATCCAGAGGGACCTTGATAGGCTTGAGAAATGAGCCAGTGCAAACTGCATGAGCTTCAACAAGTCAAAATGCAAGGTCCTTGCATTTGGAATAAATTGCCCAGAGAAGTTGTGGATGCCCCGTCCCTGGAGGTGTTCAAGGCCAAGTTGGACAGAGCCTTGAGTAGCCTGATCTAGTTGAGAAGCATCCCTGCCCATGACAGGGAGGATGGATTAGATGATCTCTAAGGCCCCTTCCAGCCTATGCCATTCTATGATTCCATGAAAATATATAACACAAGAGCATGAGAAATTCAAGGAATTCCTTAGAACATTCAGTGTTATTTTTGATCAGCCTTCGTCCTCTGAGTCTCTAAAGCAGTGATTCCAAAGTTTTCTTTCTAGAAGATTTTTGCAAGGAGTAGATGCTCCAGGGACTGAAGTGTTTGACAATTCCTGATGATTGGTGGTCTTAAAACTCTTATTCCCTGAACAACACAACATTTACATAGATCTCAAAATAGCTGAAAAGGTCCTGCAGCCTCTAATGTTCAGCCAAACTGTGGACCACGCTTTGTGGCCACATTTTGAGAGCAGGTTGCATAAAGGGTGGGAGATGAAGAAGGACAAAAGTCTGTTTTTTCTTTGTGTAGAGTGGTTTAATGTTCTAGATCAAGTAGTTTCAGTGACTACAACACATGATCAGTCTTCTCTCAGAGACCATGCTTCTTATGGACATTCAAAATGGTAATTTTTCTCTCTCTTCGCTGCGGTCAAATAGCAGATGCAGACTTTTATTGTGGTAGAGTTACCCACACAAGTAGCTGCCAAAAAGGGAAGTGAGAATCCATTTCTTCACAAGACTTTCTCTTCTTGGAAGCACTCTAGGGACACAGAAAGGGGAAGCCTTGAGGATCTCATCTGTTTTTTGCATGATACTGTTGCAGACAGTCTGTCTGCATGGACTGATGGGAGCTGGAGAAATGGAAGAGAAGGAAAATTGCGAGTAGCAGAGGTGGAAGCCTTTCTTAGGAGAGGAGGCAAAATAGGGAGAAGAGAATGAGCTTGGGATCTGTTTCTTTGTTTTATTTTCATTGGGTAAAGTTGAGGGATGAGCCACATTCAATCATGGTATTTTTCCTTGTGAGTTCTGAAAAACTATACCATTGAAGTATGGTTTTTTTTTCTCTTTCCCTTTAATACAGAAGTTATTTCAGGAGCAACAGCAACCAGGTAGAGAAGAAAATCTTTAGTTTAATCTTTTATCCTCAAGATAGTAATTGTGGCTTCCTTGATCTGGTTTCCTACCATCATTCATCTTTCCCTTGGAAAAAATATCCCCAGTTTCTATTCTTGCAGTCCCTGTCAGTGTTGCCTCGATGTTCTCTGTATCAAACCATGCAGTCTCAAAGTTGCTAAAGCCTGGGCATTTAAATGAGCAGCAAGGAAGGAAAGTTTCATCCTGACAATCATGTTGAAAGTGGGTCCTTGCAATCCTCGAAATTTTAGAAAAATAGGAGACAAAAAAGAAGAGCAGTTTGCTTTAATGTAAGGGTCCTGTGTTAGAAAGTCTTTTGAATATAGTATGGCCATAAAGGACTGAATTCTGCTGCTCCTGAGGTTTTAGATTAATCAATATCCTCTATGGAAGAGATGTTTCGTGCATGTTATGTGCAAAGAGCCAATCATATATACAAGTCAGGTGAATTTAAGCTATAAATTAAATGCTGTGTATACATCCAAACAATATTTTAGAAACGCGTGTCTTGGTTCTCCCTTTCTTAGACAGCTGGTATTAGTTTTGCTGCTGAGAGGTGGGCAAGTGCTTGGCTAGTGCTTGGCTAGGTTTTGGGTTGTGCTTTGTTTTCTCTTATTGTTTTCTTCAGTAAGGAAAGGAGGTTGGGTAAAACTCTTTTCTAGTCTCTGTTGACATCAGCACTTTCGATCTGCCCGCGTCCAAAAGAATTATGTCAAAGCAATTGCCTGCATTTGTTTCATAGCGTGTTCTCCAGCAGCTCTGTCGCTTGAGGGTCAAACTGGAATACATTAAACCGGAATTGGGGCAGAAACTGCAGCCAGCCTCGGGTCAATGACGCCTCTTGAGATTTGCGAAAGTGACGCTTCTGGGGTTCATTGCATTAACTTCCATAGCATTTCTGTGTCTGGTCCGGGTGACTTACAAAGGCGAATGGGATGGTTAGTCTTACATTCTCCCATTTAATTATTTCTCTACGTGTCTGGAGTAAAAGGACAAGCCTCACATCCGACTTATTCCTTAATATTTCAAAAAGATTTTTTAAATCAATGTATTAGAGCTGTTTTCTTCTATGTTTCTATCATTTATGTTTAGGAAGATTACCACAGTTACTTCATCTGTAAAAACAACTTTGTGGACTCTAGCCTATGTGATCTTCATAATGGTACATCTTTTGACATAAGCAAGTCTTTACAAGGCTTAAAAGCACAGTTGTGCATGTGGTTAACAGCACATCCTAATGTTGCAGGATGTAGCTGGGGTTGTGCCAGAGGAAGAGGAAGAAGAATAAATGCATCCAGAAAGACAGATGCTAAAATGCACAATTCAAACTGTATTTTAGCAGGCTCTGATTCATCTTTTGTTAGTAACTCTGAAACCTTACTCTTGATCAACTTTCTCAAAACTTTTGCTCTTTTAGTGACTAGAGAGTTGCCAATCACAATTTTGAGTTTTGAGATCTGTTGATAGGAATACCAGGTATAGCAGAGACCAGGTGGTGGTGTGTGTATGAATGCATGTGCACATCCCTCTCTCTCTCTTTCTCTCCCTCCCCCTCTCTCTCTCCACACCACGCTTGGACAAGCCTTTTTCCTTCCTAAAATTTTCACAAGCTTTCTTGCTTTAGTTCCTTCTGCAGAAGTTTTGTACTACAATAGTTTACTTAAGATGGGATGTTTCTTTTATGTTTGTAACATGGCACTGAGATTTTACTATGCCATGTATGCTGTGTTTTAGCAGACATCACTTACTGAAAGTGACTGAAAGTTTGAAAAACACCTTTATTTCCTACCTGTGGAACAGAAAAACATCTGCAGAATCATAATTAAATATAATTACATTTGTATGAAATAATGCCTTCTAAATATCTGGAGTGCCATATGCGAACAAATGCTGAGCTCAAGTAATTGAGATTATTTTCTCTGGTTTATTTGCAGTATTTACACTGCAGCCTTCAGTCATAAGTCAGTTCATTCCAGAAGCTTAAAATGAACTGATGCCAGCAACTGGCACAAACCAAATGCTTGCCAGCCTTCCCCAGTACTGCACATTGACAGGATTAATACTTTCTGGCCAAAGGCCCAGGTTAAGACAGGCAGCACGGACAAAAGCTTGCGCTCCGTCCTTAAAAACCATCAAACTTAAATATTGGCAGGCTGTGGGATGATGCAAATTCAGTAGCCAGGGCCCTCCCGCTGAGTGCGTGGTCCTTAGAAGCCCACCTGACAGACCTCAGCCTTGGGACGCAGAGCCAAAATCTTTCTAGGCAGCACCCAGTTCCCTCGGCAAGGTGAAGGGGAAGGAGAAGGAGAAGACATGACAATATCCCAAGTGAGCTGGGAGGAGCCTGCAGGAGCAGTGCTCATGTCCACTCACCCTGCTTGAAGTCACTAACTTGTTCTCCTGAAGAAGGTAGCTAGTCCATCAGTTCATCCTGAGAGGGTAAAGTTGAGAGAGGAAATATCTGTGAGGTATGGAGGACTCCTTCCCTCAGCCTAATTCTCTGAGGTCACCTTCTGTGGCTGGGGGATCCTGGGACGGGATCCCGGGCAGATCCCTTGGACAAGATTCCAGTAGCAGGCAGCAGATGAAGTGTATTGCTGAAACAAGGAGTCGCAGGTACTCTCTCAGTGACAGAGCTGTAATAACCCCCGTCGGTTTCCTAAAAGTTGTTTCCTTGGCATCTCAGTGTGAGGATCTTTGCGCAGTGGGATTTTGCATGGAGCCAGGTGCTGGGAATTCAGAGACAGCTGCCTGCGGATCCTGAGAAGAGGGATGGATGGGTGTCATCCAGACTTATATGGCACCTCAGCCCGAAAAGACTGGAGTTTCCCCTGGAGGTGTTTTGTAGGCTGTGAGCAGGAAGGCTGCCAGGATTACTACCCTGAGAGCGGAGCGAGAGTTTCTTGATGGAAACACGAAGCACTGTCTGATACAGCGACCACTCACCTGACCTCCAGCTTCATGCAGGCAGTAGATTTCACCTGCAGGAGCTCCTGCTTCGTGCCTAATAGCCCAAGCTGCACGAGTGTGCATCCTTTTTACATCAAGCGCAGTTGTTTTCATGACTTTGCAGATGGACAGTACATCACAACCTGTGGTGTAAAGGATTAATTACTGGTTAATTGCCTATAACAGATCATTGCTGAAATAGCAAAACAAAATTGCCTATTCACAGTCTGGACTGGATTAGTTTCCATTTCCAATGTGTTTTCTACCTTTGCTAGATTAGAGCCCACTGTTATCAAATTTATTCCCTGTATGAATACTCCTATACTGTGAAAAAATAACAAAATTCCCTTTAAGCTTTTTTTTTATAACAAAGCCTTCTGTTTCCCAGTGTTTTCAGTTCTTTAGTCTCTGTCCCCTGAACACTCTTCGGATTTTTTCAACACTATGTTTGAAAAATGGAGTGGCAGAACCTGATCCATTATTCACGGAGCAGAGGAACGAGAGCCAAATACAGCGTCACTGTAACCTACCTACTCATCTTTTGATTTTCATTTGTTTGTACAGCTGAGGCTTGCGTTAGCCCTTTTGGCCACAGCCTTGCGTGGGGAATTCATGTCGAACTGATTGCCTCCCAGGACCCCCGGTCTCATATTCAGTCTCTGCTTCGGAGGATAGAGTCCTCTCTCTCCCTCTCATCCTGTAAGTACAGCCTGTATTCTTTATCCTAATAAGGTGATTCTCCACTTGGTGATATTAACATCTAAACTGTTTTTTCCCATCTTTCTACAGACCCCAGTTGCTCTGTGTCAGGCTTGTCCTTTCATCATTTGTTTTTTGCTGTCCCAGTCTCATATCTAACCATAATGACTTAACTTTAATCCAGGTCACTGATAAGGCTATTAAATAGTAAAGGGATGATCACCAATACCTGTGGGAACCCACTAGGAACCCATCTGTTTGCTAATAAATAGTTTCCCATTTACAGTTACAGTTTGGCTTCCTTCATTTATCAATTTTTAATACATTTAATATGATTGTGGACTTAGAAGTTACTTCAGTATAAAATAAGTTTGAGATTTTTGCCTGACCTCATACAGCACCCTCCACCTACAGAGTCCTACTCTCTATGTACAGATGGAGACACTCCATATAAGCTTCAAAGCATTCAATTTCTTCATAAAGATGTTCTACCAAGCAAATCAAATGACTTAGACTTGTAACACTGTCAACTACACTGCCTTTGTCAAGTGAACTTGCAATTTTTGCAAGAAATGACATCAGAGTAGTTCGACAGGATCTGACTTCCTTAAAGCCAAGTTGATTGACTTTAATTGTAGAGCTCTTTTTTTTTTTTTTTAAGATTTTGTTAATTGAGTCCTATGTTGGTTGTTCTATCCTATGCAAAACATTGGAAACTCAGTGACCCAACACGAGCCTTCCTCCTGCCCCTGGTCCTTCCCCAGGGGCTCAGAACTGCTTTAGATGCAGCAGTAGCAGCTCCAAGGCTAACTCTCTGAAACCTTCTGAGACAAGTTGATTTCTAACAACTAATCTGAAACACCTGGAGTCGTGTATCTGCTGCTTAACATGCCCTTTCCAGGGGCTGCTGTGGTGAGAAGTTATTTCATCATCATAAACTGATCATCTGGCCTTTTACCTGTGTGCTAGTCAGAAATATTTATTGAATAACTTCTGCTGCTGTCGTATTGTTATGAACGATTCTACCACTTTTATTGTCCAGGATTCATCTTTCATAACCTGTTTAGAGAAACAAAAAAATTGCATATCTGATTCTATCTGCCTTAATTTTTTCTGATATCCTCTTGCCTCCTCTATATAATCTTTATTTTAGCTTTTTTACTCGTTATTATCTTTTCCCCTTTCCCCCTTCGTGCGTTGGTTTTGTATATAAGATTTTATATGTTTTTTCACTTCCTTGGTAAACCCAGCTGTTCGGTTTTTTCGTTGTGTGTTATTTTTATCTAGCCCGGTCTTCTTTTCATGGTTGTAACATTTTAGGCATTTAGGAAATGTCTTAAACCATTTGCAGATGTCAGCAACTTTCTGTACGTTCTGTCTTCAGCCTGGTTTGACTCCCATTCACTATGGTTTTGTGAAATTGCCTCTCAGAAAGCATGCATTGTGGTTTTAATTTATGTCTGTATGAAGAGTGTTTGTTCATATATTGCATAAAACTTTACTAGTCTGGATTTGATCGCAGACAACGTTAGTTATTTGCACAGAAAGCACTGGACCTTTTCAGTCTAAACAACCAGTAACCTTCTGATTTGTGATCATTTCCTCCCTACTGAGACAAAGTCTAGAGCGGGGATTGTCTGGCCTCTCTGCTAAACTGCATCTGACTCACAGGCAGTTCAGGTGTAGCTACATCATACAACCAGTGGTAAGTTGTGCTTACAGCGCTACAGCTCCTGCCTACTGCTGTCCCTGGCTGGGCAGGGAGCAGGTCAACAGGTCCTGCTGCACGTGGCATGGTAGGGTGACCGCTGTGGGCTTTAGCTTCCCTTCCCCAAGCTCTTCACGTTGTGGTCATCGTGCTGAATTCTCCATTCCTTTTGATGCTGCAGGACCTATACCATATATGAGTCATTTAGCTGGTGGGCAAGAGCTTTAGTTCACAGAGTTAGGAAGATTGGTCTTTCCTTCAAATAAGGAGTTAGTAACTTGCCATTCGTAGCATTTTGGAAAGTACAGTCATGTTTTAGTGCTGATGGCATGAGGTCTGTGGCATAAATTGTTCAGATTGAATGGCCCTGAGATAGCACAGGGTTTTTTTTATACTTGTTGAATATAGGTATTGAAGAAGTCTGTCATCCCGTGCTTTACAGTGATTCCAATGATCTGTAACAAGTACCAACTAATAGCCCACCTTGGGTGTATCTTGATTCATAAATATCCAACATTACTTACTTCCAAGTTGTCAGTCACTTGGACAGACATCATTTGTGATGTATAAGGCTCTCTTCCATTTGAACTTAAATTGGTTACAACTATTTCTTTTAATATTGTAATAACCTAAATCTAGCTATTCGTTTTCATGAGTATTATTTTGCATTGCTACTCTGCAGGCAGGGGGTTTATCCAGTTTTTTAGACACTTGGAATTAGCATATAGGCAACTGAAAAAGGTCATCAAAAACTCTGCTTAGGTTAATGGTGTGCTCCATATTATGGGTTTGTGCTGAATGTGCTTTAGGTTGCTTATTTAATCCGACTTGCCTGATCAGCCTGGCTTGCAGAGTGTGCATTCATTCCCTATCAAGAGGTCGCTTTCTCTTTACAACACAATCCACAAATCTGACATCTGTCCCCTGTGATGTTCACCTAGTCGTTAACTTCGTCAGTCTTCTTTTTTTTGTCTTTCTGTGCCAGGAAACAGGGAGGAATTCCAGACAGGATCTCCAGATCTCTTAAATTGTCAACAGTTGTGTAGTCCACTAAATGTATTACAAAACGGTCACCTCCAATGAAACTCAGCCTATCTTCTCCAGATTATCATCCAGTCCTTCACTTCCTTTTTGTGTCTTCAATGCAAAGAAACGGGGAAACTTCTGTTGTCTGCCTCTTCCTCACAAACTGCTCTTTTCATCCTGCTGATGAGGATGGTTGGAACCATCCTCCAGGATACTTTGGGTCAGTGCTTTTCAACTGCTAATGCTCAGAGAATGAGTCAAATCAGAGAGAGCATGCAGGCAGTGTGAGGGGGATCTCAAGCACCACCAACAAAATGCTGGCACACTGTCCAGTGCCTGTCTATTTGCTTGGCCATGCGTGTGCTATGGGCTTGTGGACAACCTGATGATTTATGGACCCCAGTGCTCCCTGGATCACAGGTCAAGGAACACCATTGTAGATAATCCTGCATGCTAGCTTGAGCAGATGTCCACTTGGGCAAACATCCACACGCTGTTCTGTTTGACTAACAGGATCTTCAGGGGTGTTTTTAGAGCTCTGCAATCGTGCTTTCATTCAAAGGCCAGGTTTAAAGTACAGTTTCTTCTCCTAAGCGTATGAACCTTGAGAAAGAATGAAAGAGGGAGAGAGAGAAATAAAGAAATCACACTTCCTCTGGCCTGAGGGAGCAGCCATTAAAAAATGCATCTGATGTTTTAGTCACTCAATGAGTAATAGAAAATTGAACTGAAAGAGACTCACCCATCCTCCTGACCAGAGGCAGTGCCATGCCTGGCAGATACTTGTCTAGCCTTCATGTTGCCTTAAGCAATCTGTTCCAGGTTGTTTTGCTGTCCTTGCCAATAGGAAGGATTTTCTTCCCTGACATCTAACTTAAATATCCACAGCTTCCATTTAGTCCATTATTTCAATGTGGCTTTCTGCTTAGGCCATGAAGGATTAAAGTAGGACCCTTATAGCTGCACCAAGGAGACTGCAGTAGCTTTAAGCTAAAAGACCAGGTTCTGGACCTGTAGCTTGGAGTCACCACACGTGAGCATCCCTTGCAGATCATTCCCTGAGCAGCATCTCTAATGACCTCAGGTTCATCATGAAATCAGATTGTCTCTTCTGCTTGCCCTCAGATGTGGACATAAAGCTTAAAAATAGATCTACCATATGCTTAGTGATACTTAGGTATTTTGATCAATATGGAAGGGTCCTCTAGCTGTTTCCTGGTTTCCTTTGGAAAATGCTCACTAACCCAGCAAAATCTATTTTTCATGGCCCTTAACAGGCATCTGATTGCTTTTTAAGCTCCATCCTCTCTGGCTAATAGAAGGGACCTTCCTTCGTGATTTTCCCCACCATCGCCCCTTTTTTAAACTCCAGTTCCCGTCTTTTGAAGCAAATATGATGTTCTCCCTTATTTCTTGTTGGATCATTCTGCTCTGTGCTGTGATGTTCTGCTTCAAGCAGTTCAACCACCTAAAAGACAGGGCAGTCTGTGAGATTAATCACCAAAAATGAAAACTCATCAGTCCTAGAACCATACGCATGGATGCAAAGACAAAGAGGATGATACATCAAGGAGAAAAGACATCTACTCAGCACTGTTGTTTTGTGTTCCTCTGCTACTGGTATCCTGAATGCTGGTATCTTTTGAAGAGACAAAGGGAGAGAGAGGCAGAAAGAAAGACAGAGAGAGACAGGGAGGAGCAGGCCTTTTGGGTTATATGTCCATGTGTATCAGTTTTGATACTGCCTCCTAGAGTTCCCTGAGGTAGCAAGCATTGGGAAGTAGGCAACCTCATTGTGTATCATGATACTACAGGGTCCATTCTGAGCTGAACAGTATTGATCCACCTTTGGAGGCAGACAGACTTTGCTGCGGGTCACTGGTCCTCAGCAGAAACCAGGGAAGACGACAGTAGCTTCTCTTTTTCCTCTCATTCTCATGGATTCTGCCTTGATTCACCTCTTGTTACTCATCTCCTGCTCTGCTGATTGCTCCATCCAGGTTTGTGTAGGTTATCTCTATTTCTTGGGGCATTTCCCAGCTTTTTGGCACTAAGGGCTGTGTGTGGTTAAAAGGAAGGAGAGACAGACCATAGACTTCCTAGAAGATATTCCTGGTGGCACAGATGCAAACTGTAGCGGCATAGGATTGTAGAATATGGGCAGCTGCAGTTTGTAGGGTGCTTGACAAAACAGAGTTGAGAATTGCTGGTCTTAGTGGCCTTGTGATTGGACAGCAAAGGACTGTAGGCATCAATACTTCCACTC